AAAGAAGTGCCTGGCTCAGGTCTGTCTTGCGACCTCGGTGGCTTCTCCCGCGGAAGGAGCTTGTACAACTCAAGCAGATGGTTCCTGGTCAACTCGACGCCCGACTTCAAGAGAGATGATGCAAAGCTTTCGGGATCAGCTGTTGATGCCGCCTCACCTGTAACCATACCCGAACTAACCCCGGCCGCATTACAGGGGAAAGCAGACTCGGAAGGGGGAGAGCTAAGGTTCTTAGCAGCCGGGGGCTTATCCGCCGTGGCAGGAGGACTGTGCTGCGCCCCCTTCTCCTGAGGAGCGACTGCCAGGGCGGCTCTGGCCACAAAAGCACAAAGTTCCGGCGTAAAGCGAGCAAGGTTGCCCGACTGCCAGCCGCTGGGCTGCGAACGCAAAAGATCAGCATGCTTATGGCCGCAACGGGGCGGCAGAGGGCCGCGATAGCGCCCATCATCATCCAACGACGGAAGTCCTGGGAAATGTGGCACGGCAGCGCGCCAGTTGGGCAAATTGCTCAAGAAACGCGTAGGCTTTGATGTGAGAGCACCATAGTGGCACTGATACAACGCAAAAGTGACAGCTCCGCGCGGAATCAGATCAAGCACCTCAGCCCACTCCCATGGGGAAGCAGGCAACACCTGGTCATGTGCCACACCGAGGCGCTCTGGATGATCAAAGACAAAGAAACTGCCAAAATCAAAGCAAACATGCGCTGAAGCAACGGCTTGAAAAATGAAATCGTTATCAAGATGGACTTGCTGTGCAAAAGATTGTCGCAACCAAGGGAAACCATAAGGATGCTCATGGCTGCGCAATGGTGGTGGCCCCGGCCGATGATGCCGAGAGCGACTGAAAGTACTCGCCGGCAAGGTGCAATAGAGCAGCCACCGGCCTTCGCGCAAAAGTTCCTGTATTTGGGCCCAGGGCCCAGCATGCAAAGAATCATGATCCCGATCACAGCTCAAGTCAAACTCAAGAAGCCGCAATCCAGAGCTGTATGATGACAGGGCCTCTAGCAGGCCAACGCGATCTTCCTGAGTCGCGTACACAAGCACAACGCCGCATAGTCACTCGGTCTGATCGGCACCGCCCGTGGAATCCTTTGGAGCAGCAGACGCCCCAGGATGCTGATGCACACCGTGCTGTTTGCCACAGCCCTTGACACGACAAACATGCACACGCCCACAATTTCCCTTACATCCCCTGGCACTGTTGAAAGCATAACAGATCTGACGGCCGTCCGGGGTGTGGGTAAGCAGCGTGAATCCCGCAAACATGCCCGGAGTCTTACCCCCAAAGCCTGACCCACCTGTGTCACGACCCTTGCGATCCTTCCCGTCACCCTTGCCGTCGCCCTTGCCAGGTGTGAGACCCTTCAAGCCTTTCCTGGGGTCCTTGCCGCCTCCCTTGAAGTACTTACGGATCCCGCCTTCAGCACTGGCAAGGGCCAAGGGCGTAGTGAAGTAGACCTCCTTCAGCTCCGTGTCTTTGCACACCTTTGCCAAGGCATCGGCCAATGTGGAACCTTCCTCGTTCACCAATCTGAAAGCCTCTTTGCGAAGCCTGAACTCGTAAGCCAATACCGTTGTCCAGGGTGGGCGAAAGCCCGAGTTCTGATCACCACCCTGAGCAGTGGGGATTTTCAGTTGCGAGACCCGCTCCCCAAGAATGTAATCAGTGAACTTCAAGAAAGGTGTTACACTTAGACCCTGAAGCCACGGCTTGGCTTTGAAGCGTGCAGCCATAGCCAGCCATGCATACATCTCAATCTTCATTATGCGACGGTAATGCTCACTGTTGACGGGCACCTCAAGCTTATGCTTAACCTT